CTCCTCCACCCTGCTGTTCCCTGCTGCTGTTCTCATCACCTGCCTCACCATCACCATCACCATCACCATCACCATCACCACCATCACCATCACCACCATCATCATCATCATCATCATCATCGTCACCACCACCGCCGCCGCCATCGCCCAGCTGCTTCTCAAGGAGTGCAACCTCCTCCAGCACAAGCTTCAGCTCCTCCTCAACCGACGGCAGTGCCCCCATTGCTTCCGCCAGCAGCTGCCGTCGCCGCGCATCTGGCGTCACCACCTCAAAGTCGTGCCAGCAGTAGAGCTCCGTCCACACGTCCACCGCCTGTGCACGGTACGACACGCGCAGCCACATGGGCGGCGGCAGGCCGTCGGGGGCGAATGCGGGGTTGGTGTACTTGCGCACGGTGGCTGGGTCGAGCAGCGCTGGCCAGAGGGACGGCGCTTGCTTCGTGTCGCGCAGCATCTGCCGCTCAAGCAGATTGTTGAACAGGAACGTCCCTGTATGTGTGTGTGTGTGTGTGTGTGTGCGTGTGCGTGTGTGTGCTGTGTGAGCTCGAGAGGGATGAACAAGAGAAACAAGACGAGAAGCGAGTCTGTGGTCTCGCCCCAAGCAGTCACGCGACACAACAGCACCGGCACCATCAACAACAGCACCAGCACCACGCGACAACGGACCGGAATCGGAGACTTGCGAGTGGCGGTGGAGATCAATGAGCAGCTGGTCCGTAAACTCAAAGCAAAACGGAAACTGATGCAGACACTGTCGTGGCAACATGTGCGTGTGTGTGTGTGTGTGTGTGTGCATTCGAGTGAGGCACGACATAATCGGTTTCTCAGTGACAATCAGGGGTGAACAAGATACGACAACACCCCCCAACACACACACACACACTCAGACACACACACACACAGACACACTCAGACACACACACACAGACACAGACACACACACACAGACACACACACACACAGACACACACACACACAGACACACACACACACAGACACACACACACACGAGCATGCCAACACGAGGGACGCGCTACAAGAAGTGAGGCACCTGGTGAACACAGTCGAGGAAGAGGAGGAAAAACGGTCCACGTTCGGATGCATCGGGATGCCCAAAGTGGCTGTGACGCAATGTAAAGGGGTGACCCATCGTCAACCACTCCTTCTCAATCAACTGCATGAACCTGACATACAGGCATGTGCGCACAACAAGTGCGCATGCGTATGTACACGTGAGATAGTGTCCATTTAGTTCCGATTAAGTGAAGATGAAGACACCGAAGCAATGCGAGCAACGCAATCACACGCATGATGTGCACGGCTGCTCGACTGCACCATACCCCTTGATGGTGCGGAAGTGCGGATCAAGGAGGAGCTGCGTGAGTGCAGTGAGAACACACGTGTTGTCCCACCCAGACTCGCCATGGATCACAACAGGATCACCCTGTGGTGGTGGTGGTGGTGGTGGTGGTGGTGGTGAGGATGGTGGAGAGAAGTCGAGGTCGAAGATGAAGTGGAAAGGGACATTTGCAAATGCACATGCACACGTGCGGCGCGTACGTTGTCGCGAATCGACTTTGCGGCGGCGGCGGCGGCGAAGAGACAAGTGCGGACCTGTGTCAGCCATCCTGACGACTCCACCTGGAGGGCGGCACGGCAGATACATGGCGTGGTGAGGCCGTGCATGTGTAAGCGTGTGTGTGCGTGTGTGTGTGTGTGTGTTTGGAGAAAACGCGCATAATACGGCGATGTTAACAAGACACAAGCCAGCGCACGGCATAAGGTGCAACACATCAGAACGCAACGCCCTCTCCTCCGCACCTTTGACCAGAGAGCAGACATGTCAATGGCTGGATCCTGGCACGCCTCGCGAAATCGGGTGAACGCGGCCTGCAGCGCCTTGCAGGGCATGAGGTCACAGAAGTGCTGCTTCCACCCCGAATACGGAGTGCCCGTCCCCGTCGGCTCAAACCCGCCGCCCTGGCATGACGTGACGGTGGTGGTGGTGGTGGTGGTGGTGGTGAGGTCAGTTGAGGGGAGGCAGTAAAGCAGCAGTGAACGAACAGATTGCACGTGGCTTTCACTTGCAAACATCAGCGTTTTGCTGCGACAGACAGGAAGAGAGAAAGCAAGACACGCACACACAAACACAAAACACACACATACATACACAAACACACACGCGCGCACACGCACACGAATACACAAACACAACACACAACCACACTTCACACACCTTGCTCTTGTGTGTCTGTGCGAGGGACGCACTGCGAGTGTCGAGAATAACACCGCCAATACCGCCGCCGCACGCCTTTCGGATCTTGCGGAACAGCTGCGTGTCCGGGTAGCACGTCTTCCCGCGCGGCCCGATGCGCGGCTGCGAACACCGCACCAGCACACCCTGCACACACACACATGCATACAGAGAGTTGTGTGCGCGAATGTGAATGAGTTTGTGTGTGTGTGTGTGTGCGCGCGAATGTGAATGAGCTTGTGTGCGAGAAAATGAGTTTGCGTGTGCGTCTGTGCGTGTGCATTCATTAACGTGAGCCACTTGCGCCCACTGCAGCGCGTGATGCACTCACGGGGCTGATGGGGTCCAGGTAGATGACGATGGGGAAGCGGCGGTGCGTGCGGTGCCGCGCAACTTGCTCCAGCACTTCGTCCTCCACATCCGCTGGAACCACGAGCTCTGGAGGATACGTGGAGCACAGCTGCGCAGCAACCATGCACGTGGTGGTGGTGGTGGTGGCGGTGGTGGTGCGGGGTGAGTTCAGACAGCAATGAACCAAATGGGTGTCCACCCAACAGCAATTTCACACGCACACACACACACGCACACACACACACGCACGCATGCTCTTTCTTGTTCCACCTTCATGTCCTTGTTAATGTGGGTGAGGCGCCAGGTGACCTTCCCGCGTTGTGCATCGCCAACGCCCATGCGCTTGTACTCGTCGTCCAGGCTGAAGAGATCCCAGCCTTCCAGGTTTGTGTCCGACGGCATGGGCTGGTAGCCAGGAAGCCAGATGTACTTGGCTGGAGAAAAAGAGCCCCGAATGGGAGTACAAGGAAAGGCAGGCAATACATTCGCCCATGCAGCGCACACAGCACACAGCACGGAAGCTGTGAGATGCACGAGCCGAGTCGCCAAATTTTCATGTCACAAGCGCAACACACGAGCCGTGCTCCAGCTGTCCCAATGCCCCAAGGCGGCGTTGTCTCGTCCCTCGACTCGCTTCTGACCTGGGCAGCTGAGCTGTTGGATGGTTGTGGCGGCGTTCTTCGCGTGTGAGTCGACGGGAATCCAGAAGTGGAGCTGGCGAAACGTCTTCAGGTGCAGGGTCATCATGGTTCCTTGCGCAGGTTGGGATCGCAGTTCCACAGAATCCACTTCCGTGTGCATGACCTGAGTGCGTGAATGTGAATGTGAATGTGAATGGTGAAAGCGTGAGCAGCAGCGCACCGTGGACCAAACGTTCACAGGCATGCGCACACGAACAGCAGAACCAAAGCAAAGGAATGTAATCAGTCGAGACAATATCCAACATGGACAGTAAATTAGCAGAGACTGTGTCTCAAAGCCCCCGTTCCAAATACAGGCTCTTCAACAAGCCTCTTCAATACGCCTCTTCAACAAGCCTCTTCAACACGCCTCTTCAACAAGCCCCATCAACAAGCCTCAACACACACACACATACACTTTCAACACAAGACACAAACAGCAACCACAACTGCACCCGAGTCGGACAAACCTGGAGGCTGGATGAGTTGTCCCTCTCAAAGATGACGTAGATGGGGTTGATCCAGAGCATGCCACTAGCACGATACGGCCCAACCTGCGTGTCGGGCGTGCTGTACTGCAGCACACCAGGCAGCTTGGGCTGCTGGATCAACTCCATTGGATCCATGGTCGTGGTGTTGTGCTGGCGGAGCAGCGGGCTGCTTTGCAAGCGCGATTGCAATTTGCAAATTGTAGAATGGAGCAGCATTGAACAGCACAAAATGTTGCTAGAACTGCATGCTGCCAAATGTATGGTTTTGGCCATTTGAGTGCTGGAAATGACATATCTTTCAGCATTGCGAAAGATTTTCGGTGCCGCAACAGCACAGCACCCCAAAACAAAAACAAACCAACACAACTGACCAACCGACTGTGAGTGAGTGTGGCGGTGGTGCAGTGGGGAATGGAAGAGTTGGTGCTGGTTCCAATGCAGGGTTGGTTGGTGCGTTCGTTGGTGTGCGGGGGGGGGGGCGTGTTGATGATGTGGTGTGGCTGAATGGCATGCGCGCATTGTGTGCGTGCGTGAAGGTGTGAGATTGCACGAGCGGACAAACCCCCACAAAGATACCATCAACTCGTTGATTTTGCTGTGTTGTTGCATGCTCTTTTGCCGCGCGCAAACGCATACCCACACACAACACACACACACACACACACACACACACACACACACAAACACACACACACACACTCTCTCTCTCTCTCTCTCTCTCTCTCTCTCGCTCACTCACTCACTCGCCCTCTCACTCTCTCACTCTTGTTAGCGACGACTCAAGCGACCGTATCCCTCCAACAAACACACACACACGCCTAAACCAGCATCATGTCTGTGGACCGCGTAAGTACAGCGATGCCATACCGCTTGCCGCTTGTTGTTCGCCGCTTGTTGTTTGCCGCTTGCCGCTGCTCCGCGAGCGCGCAAACACTAATCTTTACCCGTTTGGCTTCGTTTTGCCTGCAACAGGAAGTCATGTACGATGCGTACAATGAGGTGCGCTCCGATGACAACGACACCGCCTGGTATGTTTGACCATTGGTGCATGCGTGTCTGTCCACCTCTGCCGCCCTGCCTAAACTCGCTGTTTCAATTCTGTCTCCTTCAAACTGTTCAAACTGTTCACTCATACTCTCTCTCTCTCTCTCTCTCTCTCTCTCTCTCTCTCTCTCTCGCTCTCTCTCTCTCTCCTTGTTTCTTCCACACACACACACACACACA